AACTTAAGTCATACCAGAATCAGGTTTAGCAATTGTGGAATTTGAAAGGACCCTGCCGGATTTCTCAACTTATTCATTTCGAAAAACAAAATACAGGGTTTTGTAGAGCTTGAAAAGTTACATCTAATGGTGTATAAATCAGATTGGTTCCTGTTCAATTTTAAGAATTTTTTCTATATGGAATATCGAAGGGGTATGATCAAATATTTAGATTTAAAGCATTAGACTATCATATGGAAATGACTCTTATCAGAATATGATAACAATTATTGTCTTACATAGTTTTGTAGAGCGTTTTTCGCTCTACAATTCTACTTATTTCATTATCTTGTTTTAAAGACAAAAAATTTTTTTTTAATTGAAAATATCTAAATTTTTAATGAAAAATCCAGGATTTCAATTTTTTTGATATTTTTGTGGTCTTTCATTGTTCTTCAAGACCTAGTGGCACCAACGTGATTTTTTCTCAGAAACTGCACCTAGTCATGATCTATCGTTAGCCATAAAACCATATTAAAAATCAAAATAGTTTTAGAGAAACATAGTTAACACTGTAACAACCATGCAGATTTTTAATGCTTTTCAGACACCGTTTCATCCAAGATTGCTTAGAAATTACCCGACGAATTTCATCATATCAGATAAATTCTACCTAGTGCAGATCAGCATACGATCCTCTATCACCCTCCATAAAAATATTGTATCAAAATGAAAAAAAGAATTTTTTCGAAAAATCGCCCTAGGGGGGTAGGGGGACTCAGTGAAAAAAGTTTTATCTGAACTGCCCTGGAGGGGGGTAGGGGGATTTTTCGAAAAAATGTTTTTTTTCATTTTGATACGATATTTTTATAGAGGGTGATAGAGGATCGTATGCTGATCTGCACTAGGTAGAATTTATCTGATATGATGTAATTCTTCGGGTAATTTCTAAGCAATCTTGGATAAAACGGGGTCTGAAAAGCATTAAAAATCTGCATGGTTGTTACAGTGTTAACTATGTTTCTCTAAAACTATTTCGATTTTTAATATGGTTTTTTGGCTAACGATAGATCATGACTAGGTGCAGTTTCTGAGAAAAAATCACGTTGGTGCCACTAGGTCTTGAAGAACAATGAAAGACCATAAAAATATCAAAAAAATTGAAATCCTGGATTTTTCATTAAAAATTTAGATATTTTCAATTAAAAAAAAATTTTTTTTCTTTAAAACAAGATAATGAAATAAGCAAAATTGTAGAGCGAAAAAAGCTCTACAAAACTATGTAAGACAATAATTGTTATCATATTCTGATAAGAGTCATTTCCATATGATAGTCTAATGCTTTGAACCTAAATATTTGATCATACCCCTTCGATATTCCATATAGAAAAAATTCTTAAAATTGAACAGGAACCAATCTAATTTATACACCATTAGATGTAACTTTTCAAGCTCTACAAAACCCTGTATTTTGTTTTTCGAAATGAATAAGTTGAGAAATCCGGCAGGGTCCTTAATGCACAAATAAATGAATGAATAGATAAGTACATGTATACAAAGTAAAGGGAAAGGTATTGAACTAAATAAATTCAAATATTGAAAAAGGTTGAAGTGAACAGATACATATATTGGTTAGGTTTTTAATGAACAAATACATATATTGAAAAGGTTTGAAGTGAAAATAGAGAAAAAAAAATTATATATATATATTTTAAGTAAATATACATTTATATATAAATAGAGTGAGAAAGAGAGAAAAAGATTGTTGAAGTTGATTCTCTTATGAAAATGTAAGTATTTGAGATGTTCTTTTTGATTTACTTTTTCTTTTACATCAATGCTATGATAGTTCTGATAGTTCTTTTTGTTTTATCTCAATGCTATGAGTTAGATAGTCAATGTGGCAAGCTTGATAGAGATGAGTATTATTTAGTGTTCATAGAGATATGATACATTTTTATCAAATATCCCTGACCAGATTTTGAGTAGTAGAAGGAGATAGATATGTATAATTTTTTGTTAACAACTGGGAAGAGATTTTTTCTCTTTCGATATACGCGTTTTTTCCGAATAGTTGTTATTGATAGATACTTTACAGAATATCAATGATCAATGATGTATAATAAGAAAGTCGGTAGTAAAGGATAAGAAGTATTTTGAGATACATTTGTGTTTTTCGAAATACATTTCATTGATTCATCTGAGTAAAAAAGATCTCTCGTTTATAACATTTATGTTCATCTATTTTTTCTTATTTCTATTTTTGCTATTATCATTCTTTTATCATCTATTCTTTTGATCTTACTGTGGCAAAAGGTTAATAATATTCTTTGGTAGTTTTTTATGTATTAAGATGTTACTAAGATTATCTGTTAGGCGATGTGCATATATTACTGGAATATTATCTAAAGGTGTTCCTTCAAAAATTTCATTCCATATTTGATGGAATTTCGCACCAAATTGAGCTAGTGAGGGTGTGTATGTGAAGTGAACTAATATATCTCGATTAAAATCAATTTCTTTCTTTGACTTTTTATTCCATTGCACATCTAGAACTGTGTCTCGAAATGCTTTATGTTGATCGCTGAATAGTAAATCCGGAGTATTTTTTCCTGTGAGGGTTAGGTAAAAACGGTTTATATGTTTGTCAATAAAATTCGGTGGGTACTTGTTGAGTAGGAAGATTATTCGAATTTTGTGGATTTCTTGTCTCAAATCTTCGACGTGCGAGCATATTCGTGTTGCTCTTAACACAGCCGAAAAAACGACATTTTTGAAAATGTGCAGTGGGTGGGAAGAATGAAAAGGTAAGATGTATGGCTGAGCTGCCAATTTCCGATAAACTTTTGTCCGAAAACTAGGTACTTCTACGCTTATTCTAATATCGAGATAGTCAATCGATTCACCTGTTTCAAAAGATATTTGTATGTTCGGGTCTTTCTTTCCTAAGTTATGAAGTATATTATTCATTTCTTCGGTTGTTTTCTCTGTTGTTAAGAAAACATCATCACGGAATCTACGATATAGTTGTTTTTCTTTTTCTTGTTGTTCCACTAAAGATTTTTCCCACTTTCTTACGTAGACATCTGCCAGAACTTGTGTACATGCCAAGCCCATTGGGCCTCCTCTTATTTGTTGGAAAAACTTTGGTGCTAGTCCCGGCAGTTGAAGTGTAAAAAAGGAATTACTCAGAACATGTTTTAGTAAGATGCGGATGGTGTTAATAGGAATCTCATTCTTTACTTTTCGAATGTTATGTGCACCTAACATTTCACAGATGGCCATAACAGCCTCATGTTGGGGTATCGAAGTGTACAAATCGGTTATGTCATAAGTATACAGTTTTGTTTTCTCATTTGTTTGAAATATTTTCAAATCATTCAAGAGATCTATCGAGTCAGTTAAATTATATGGTGTTATTTTGTCAAAAATGGGTCTCAATATCTGATCTAAAAAAGATGAAATTTTTGCAATGGGAGATTTGATGCCAGCCACTATTGGACGTAACGGTTCACCAATTTTATGGTCTTTAGGATTGTAGTAGAGGTGTGGGAGTTCCGATTCTGTTCGAGATGGTCTTAATTTTTCGAGATATTTTGCTGGTAATAGCTTTCTTCGTACTAGATCGATTAAGAGTTCTTCAGTATTTTTAATCATATCTTCGAGTGGGGATTGTTCGATCTCTTTATAGGCATTCATTTTTGACATGTATTGTGCAGATTTTTCTATATATGCTTCAGGTTTTCCTAGATGGAACACTTTCGATTTATCTGTTTGTCGAAAGACAACTTTATGTTCTTTTTGAGCTTTCTTCAAATTTCCTAAGATTTTCATCATCTTTGGATCTGTTATCTTTTCCTTTGATATTGTTGTTCGAATTTCTTCTTCAATACGTTCGCTAAAGTGATTTACTATTTCTGGATTACGACCTACTGTTTTTGTTTCTCGCCGCCATGCAACTGCTACTTTTTCTTTCATTATGTCAATTTCATCTTTTAATCTTTGTAAAGTTTGCTTTGGATTTTGTGGAACGAATTTAGGGCCATAGTTTAAAATTCTACGTTCTGCATCGCTCAATTGCAATGCGTTATTGTTAACTTGGGGTGGAAAAGCAAGAGAGGTGTAATGTTGATGCATTTTTTTCTTTGATTTTGTCAGGTTTCTCTCGTTCTGTAGGTTTTTCGTTCTAAAAAATGAATCTTTTTTTCTGTAGTTTGATCATGTCTTATCTTAATTGTATGAATGAGAGTGTCGAATGGTTCTCGAATATATTCTGGTAGTCTTTCTAATGATTCTTGGTATTTTTTTTCAATCTTTTCGATTTCAGCTGTTTTTGTCATTATCATAATGGATGTAAAATCTTTCTTTGCATGTCGAATTATATTATTCCATTGTTCTGTGAATTGTTCAATCTCATTTCTATCTAATTCTTTACTACGTAATTGTAATTTATCTATAGCATTCAAATAAGGAGGTGGCATATTCAGATTTAATCGTTTCTCTAATTTTCTTAATTGGAATCGTAGATTCAACATTCTCATGTATTGTTCTTCTAATTTTTTAACTTTTTCGAGTTCATCTATTCTACATTTATTTTTTATTTGTCGTATAGCTTTCTCTTTCATTTGATCTAGAATCAAATTATCAATACGTTTGCGATTCGTTTTTTTGAAAGTATCTACAATCGGATCAATGTTGTTGATAATGTATTGTTTGAGTATTCGTCCTTGTTCTATTGGAATTTTTTCCATCTCATTGTTCAATTTCGTTTCCATCTGCTCTGTCTTTTTCTCTATAAAGATACGATGTATCTTTATAGATTCTGCATTACAATTATTACCAAGAGTATATTTGCATTCAAATGGTATGATAGGAAAGTCAAATGAATGGAGTTCTTCTATATATGTATCTTTTGAAACTACAGATGGAGACTCAATTTCTATGTTTGTCGATGATCGACGTATTACACGTTGTGTGTATACTGATACATTTGGAGATTGACTCAGATTGTGTCCAGTTGGTGTTGACTGTGTTAGAGGATCGTAGTGTTCGATTACTTGTTCCTGCCCATCTTCTTCATCCATTTGTATATTACTCATATCTTCTCTTGTTCGAATATTCAAGCCAATCGGTGATAATGATGTATCGCTTAATTTTCGTTTTTTACTTTCTTTCTCTTTGTTTTCACCATTAGTTTCACTGTCGAATGTTTCGTTTCCTGACCATCTTGGTGAAGTAGGACCTATACGAACTTCTGGGATCTCTCGATCTATAGTGTTGTTATTGTTGGTCAAGTTATTTTCTCTCTCATAATTACTATGATAGAAATGGATCGTTCGTTTCTGTTGTGTTTCTTTACGGGAAGCTACGGTTTCATATACTCGCCATTTTTTAGCATCATCTTCAAAATGTCGATATTGATAATATAAATTTGCAATAAGAAAAACTTTATCTTTATCAATATTTTCTGGTGGTGTGCTTTCACGAAATAGTTGATTTGGATGTTTAAGTTTATGTGGATAGAATTTGATTAATTGTCGACTTGGTAAATATGGATGATGGAAATATTTCTCACTTGTTATATGTTTTGCTATATTTTTTGTATAGTTTACTACAAAGGGTTGTGTAGAATTAAGTTGTACTTGCCCGATAGTTATTTTAGCTTGTTGCTGTTTTTGTTGTGATGATAATAAATTAGTTAAATTATTGTTGTTCATTGTTGTTATTATTATTCTTTTATTATTATTATGTTGTTGTTGTTGTACAGTTGTTTTGGATAGATGCATTGCTTGTTGAGCAAACCATTGTCGTTGTACATTTTCAAATTTTTGTCGACCAGATGATAATGTTGGATGTAGACCATCTTGTATTCTTATGTCTTCTATTTGTAATTTTGCATCAATCACATCAATATTTATTTCTTTTGATAATACATATAATCGATTATTAAATTCACGATGAAGATTTGTAAATTCATGTCCTGAAAAAAATCGTGAGGATTTCCAGCGTGGCGATAATTTCATCCATCCAATTGTTTGAATGCCAGGAAAATTTCGACGTGTATACTCAATAAGCCATTGACAACGTTTTAATGTAAGATCAACACCAAGTTGTGCTATATCATTTGTTCCTAAAGAAAAAAGAACCACAGAAGTATTATTTAATTTAGTTTTTCCTTCAACTGATGCCATCCAATCTGCCATTCGTTCACAATTGCATCCTGATTTAGCAATCAATTCGACATTAATTAAATTAGATATATTAACTTTGAACATTCGACATTTTGATGCCATTGAATCAGATAAGATGATTCCATGTATGAACTTTTTCGATGTTGATGTTAATGTTGTTGTTGTTGTTGGTATTATTTTCGATTGAGTCTTTGATGAGAGTAGTAGCGATTTTCTGTTGTATGAAGGAGATCGAGAATGAGAATGAGAATGAGTTTTTTCCCGAGAATCTTGAGAACGTCTGTTGTTATAATGTGTTCGATGAGTGACATATGGTTTGTTATTTTGATGGAGATGATTTGATCGAGATCGAGAACGAGATTGATGATTTGATTGAGATTTATATTGATATTGATGATTTGATCGAGATCGAGATTGATGATTTGATCGAGAACGAGATTGATATTGATGATTTGATCGAGATCGAGATTGATATTGATGATTTGATCGAGATTGATATTGATGGTTCATTGTGTTTTTATAATATTGATCTGGATTAATCTTTATTGATATTTGTTGTTGATGTTGATACATTTGTTGTGCTTGCTGCATTGAAACAGTATTTTTTCGTGGTGGTTGTCGAAATAAAATATCATTTGGATTAATTGACATAAGTTTCATGGGTTGTGTTGTATTCTTATCTTTCGATAAATGTGAAATAGTTGGTTTTGATTGAACATTAATTGAATTTTTTGAATGATGATTAGTATGTCGATTGGAATTGAACAATGGTTTTCCAGTATAATTTGTGTATCCAGACCATGTAGTAGTAGTACCTACTTGAAATTTATGAAGATGATTGTACTTACGTTGACCACCTCCATAGAGCGAGGGTTTTGCTGGTTTATGATTTGCAAGACTTGGAGGATGAGTAGCAGACATGAAATCTGGTCTACTCGAAGTTGAAAAAGAAGATGATGAAGAAGGAGAAATAGTAATAGAAGACATTCGGTTTGATTCGTCAATTAGCAAAAAAAAAGGTTACGTTTGAACTAAGTATATTATTCAATAACTTTTATTTTTTGAACCGAATGGTTGGATCAACAAAGTGATTTTAAG